GAATCGGCTCAGCTCTGGCCATTGCAGTCACTTGGGGAGTGACTCATTGGACAGAAGATTTTCATCTCTATCTCTCCTCCTCTCTGTATATCTGACTTTGTAATAAAAATAAATAAATCTTTAAAAAAAAGATTTTTTTTATTTCAAAGTTGAGATACACAGAGGTCTTATGTCTGCTGATTCTCAACAGTGTTCACAACAGCTAGAACTGAGCAGATCCAAAGCCTGGAGCCAGGAGCTGCTTCTGCATCTCCCACACGGGTGCAGGGTCCAAGGCTAACCCGGAAGAAGCTTCTGGATCCTGGCTTTGGATCAGTCGTTTCAAGAGTAAACCACCAAATGGAATATCTTTCTTTTTGTCTCTCCTCTCTATAAATCTACCTTTCCAATAAACATAAATCTTAAAAAGAAAAAAAAAAAGAGGATCTCTGTCTCTCTACCTCTCTCTCTGTAACTCTGCCATTCAAATAAATAAATCTTTTTTAAGTGGCCGCAACAGCTGGTACTGTACTAATCTGAAGCCAGGAGCCAGGAGCTTCGTCCAGGTCTCCCATGCAGGTGCAGGATCCCAAGGCTTTGGGCCGACCTCTACTGCTTTCCCAGGCACAAGCAGGGAGCTGGATGGGAACTGGAGCTGCTGGGATTAGAACCCGCGCTTATATGGGTTCCTGGTGCATTCAAGGTGAGATCTTTAGCTGCTAGGCCACCGCGCCAGGCCCAAATAAAATCTTTTACACACACAAATTGGTGACAGGCATTGTGTTTGGTGGTCCAGGTTAAGCCACCATTCACGATACCTGAATCCCATTTCAGACTGTCTCTCTCCATCCTCTCCTTCCTGTGTGGTTCCCTGCACACCTGGGAGGCCACGGGGAAGCTCAAGAGCTTGGACCCCCTGCCAGCATGGAGTTCTGGACTTCCGACTGCAAGGCCAGGCTCCTGCCGTGCAGGCATCTGAGCAGTGAGCCAACAGATGAAAGATCGCTCTTCTCCCTCCCCATCACTTTGCCTTCCAAGTAAAGAAAATCAAGCATTAGGGGCCGGACTCAGAACCCATGGTCTGCCATGCAGTGCAAGTGCCAGAGCCGAGCCTCCTCAGAGGCTCAGACGGAGCAGTGAACAGCATATCCAGCTGCACATGGAGGACTTGGCAGTCTATCGGATACCTGGCACCACAACAGAGAACAGAACAAATCAATCAACTACCCCAGTCATATGTTGGCAGTGAAAAACTGGGCAAATGGAGACTCTAAGATGGACTATGTCAACCAGTGGATTCTGCAACAACTTCATTGTGCCTGGAGTGGCGAGACTGGCAGCAATTCATAACTGTTGAACTATCAACACCACTTGAGCAGGACCCTCGGACATGCCCCACATCGTGGACCTAGGATGGGTGGGAGATTGGTTGGGGCTTCTCCCTTTATCTCCCCCTTTACCCCAGATACAGGGGAATAAAAGTGGAAATAATAGTCTTACCCACTTTCCTGTAGCCCTTGACCCTTTATGCCATAATTAACTATGTAAAGATTGTCAGATTCTCCGGAGACGCCTGGCTGGTGGGGCACATCCTTGTCCCTGGGCCTTATGCTTTTGTTAGTTTACAGATTTGTTTATTTGAAAGGTAGAACAACAGAGAACGGAGGAAAGGGAGATCTGGATCTGTGCTGGTTCACGCCCCCAAATGCTTGCAACAGGCCAGGCTGCGCCAGGCGGAAGCCAGCGCCAGGAGAATTGGCACAGCTCAATGAATGCACCCAGGACCCCAAGGGAAGAAGCTGGCGATCTCACGGCTCAGGGGGTGCAGCCAGTGGCTCCAGGCCAAGTGACTTCAGTGGTTGCCCTGTTTTTGCTGTGCCAATTGCCCATGTTCTGCCATGCCCAGTGTCACCTCCACCCCTCCCAAGAGCCTGTTGACCAGACACCATCTCTCCTGCAAAGCCTTCCCTGATTGCCCCACAGAATGTTCTCTTGCCCAGCTGTTCCCCTTGAAATTTAGATTACTCAGGAGCAGCCTGGGACAGGGAGGTTAGAGTTCAGGGATTTAGGCGGGGGCATTTTGTCTTGAAATGTTTTATTTCCAGCTACTTGAAAGGTAGATAGAGAGAAAGGGGGGCAGAGAGGCCTTGTACCTGCTGCCTACATCTTGCTGCATCTGTCCCCAGATGCCTACAAGAGCCCTAGCTGGGTGACGCTGAGGCCAGGAGCCAGGAACTCCACCCAGGTCTCCTCCCAACCCCGGGGGCACCTGAGTCTCCATTGGAAACTTCAGGGTGTGTTAGCAAGGAGCTGAGCTGAATGTGGGGTGCAGCAGCTCAACCCGCTGGTGCCACAGCACCTGCCCTGGGCTGGGGCATTCTTGTGATTAAGACTTGATTGAGACAAGACTGTCAGAGGCGTGCACAGATCACACACACCCCCCAAAAGACGGGGAACTGCTCAGATCTCCCGCCTCGACGACATCTCTCTGCTTCATCTCAGTCGGACGGGGAGCTGGCTCTGCGAGGGGACGGAGCCGGATCAGGCGCTGCCGCTGCCTGTTCCAGTGCATCGTCCAACCCAGCCAGATATGGCTAGCAACTCCGCTGACTGAAGAGGAACCAATGAGGATAGCTCCAACAGGCATTATACAGCACCTGCTTGAAGGAGTGTGTGATCTGTGACTCTGTGGGGCCCCCATGCGGTTTCTGCCGTGCGTGCACATCTACCGCCTGACTGTCCAGATGACTGCTTGGTAAGATCCCTCCTGTGCCCCTCCTGCATGGAGCGGAGGCTGCAGCCTTGCTTCCATCCTATGAGACTAAGTGAGCCAGCGTCTCTCGTCTGCCTTCAAGTGAACCATCAGTTCGGTGGTTTTGATCTTTTGTCACTGAACCCAAAGAGCCAGGGATTAGAAATTAAGATCATGCACAAAAGTTTCTTAATTCCTGTCTGGATGGCTATAGATGTTGGGGGAAAATATGTGATACTTCAGAAACTAGGGGGAAAAGTAAGGTGGTATTTTTATGTAAGGCCAGTGTTTAAAAATATAATTGCATTTAGATCTTGTTATTGCTTAAGTATATAGGAATTATGTGAAGTGTTACAGCAGTTGTATATGTTTAGATTGTGTGTGTTAATTAGGAAAAAGATAATGGTTATTTTTCCTTGGGCCTGGTGTGGTGGCCTAGTGACTAAAGTTCTTGCCTTGCATGCACCCTAGTTCTGGTTCTAATTCCAGCCGCTGCACTCCCCATCCAGCTCCCTGCTTGTGGCTTGGGAAAGCAGTCAAGGTCGGCCCAAAATCTTGGGACCCTGCACCCACGTGGGAGACCCAGAAGAGCTCCTGGCTCCTGACTTCAGATCAGCTCAGCTCTGGCTGTTATGGCTGCTTTAGGCAGTGAACCCGTAGACAAAAGACCTTTCTCTCTGTCTCTCCTCCTCTGTATATCTGCCTTTCCAATATAAATAAATAAATCTTTTTTAAAAATTAGGAAAAAATAGTGGTTATTTTTCCAAATGAACTAACGTTCTCCTCGACCCCACTCAGATTCTTTTCTGAAACTGCTGGCTTTTGGGTCAAGGTTTTATTAAAAGCTACATTTTATAATATTGCACACAAAAAAAGTAGTTTTAAGCTTGTTTGCACAGATCTTTTTTTCCATTGGAAACGGAATTCATTGTCTTAGGTCCTTTCATGAGGCTGACATGCTACCTACTATGCCAACAAGGCACTGCTTAGGTCCCTTTAACTAGTGTATTATTATCGTTGGGGCTGGCTCTGTACTTGAAAATCAGTTTATTTGTAATCTATTATAAGTGCTATATTCTGTTTGCAGTTAGGAAATGCAGAAATCAAAGTGAACTTCTAGCTTGTAAACAAACTGCACTGTCCCTTTTCTATGAAACTGAGTTAATGCTGTCAAGAAACCTATTCTAGTAAAATTGGGAAACATACAGATATAGATATAGATAAAATTGGGATATATATATATATATGTATATATATATGTGTGTATATATATACAAAGACTTGATTGAGGGTGCTTGGAGTGATGGCTAAATCCTCCTCTTGCATGTGCTGGGATCCTATATGCCCACCAGTTCATGTCCTGGATGCTCCACTCCCCATCCAGCTCCCTGCTTGTGGCCTGGGAAAGCAGTTGAGGATGCTCAAAGCTTTGGGACCCTGCACCCGTGTGGGAAACCCAGAAGAAGCTCCTGATTCCCACAGAGAGGGATGGATCTGGGTTGGATCTTCAAAGGTATCAAGATGCTGAGGTGCAGGTCGAATGTGGGGTGTCCCCAGGGGCAGACTAGGCACAGGTGACATGTAGGGATTCCCCCAGGCAGAAGAGGCACATGTTAGATGTGGGTTTTCGCGGGGGCTGATGGTCCCAGAGAGCGCTGTGAGCTGCTGCAGATCCTAATGGCTCTCCCAGCTGCTTGAGAGGGGCCTGGGGCAGGGGCAGGTGCGGGAGCCTCAGACCCTGGACCTGGCTGCGGTGGGAACCTTGGCCAGTAGCCCCAGGTCGCAGGCCACCCTTAGGTCCCTGCCCAGATCCTTCATGGCAGCTAGGGAGGCCTGCGGAGACCAGCCTCCCATTGTAATTCCCCAGCCACCCTCCTTTCAGTTGGAGGTGGGGGGAGGGAAGTGTCTTGAGGTCCTGGCACGCTGGTGGAAGCAGTGGCATTATAGCTCAGGAAGTCAGCAGCAAGGATGACAGCTCTCACCAATGACTTCTCAGCATGACAGGCTCTGGGAGCCGGCATGTCCCCTCCACCAGCTTGCATGGGACCACAATCTCCCAGGGAAGGGGATTTTTCACACGATCCCTAATGACAGACTAGGAAACAGACTTGACAAACAGGAAGTGGAGCAGCTGGTCTCAGGCCTTTCTCCCAACTCCAAGAAGCGTGACCGCGTCGGGATGCTGTGTATAGAAACGCCAAAGGTCCCATCCCACTGGGCTGGTGTTGGTGCTGGTGCCAGCGCTGCTTTAACTCTTACTCTCTCAGAGTCAACACTGGCATGAGCCTGGGGGGTGCTTCCTGCTGGAGGGCCTGGGACCTGGGGCCTTGTGGATGAGCCGGACGCCCCCCCAGTCCTCTTCCAGCTTGATGTCCCCTTGCTGCAGGGCCTGTTGGATGGCATCAACCAGGGTGTCAAAGGCCAGCTCCACATTGTGGTTGCTCTTGGCCGAGGTCTCCACGAAGCCCATGCCCAGGGAGGCGGCCAGCTCCTCGGCCTCCTGTGCGGAGATGCAGCGGGCGCTCTGCAGGTCGCTCTTGTGGCCGATCAGCAGGAAGATGGCCTTGTCGGGGCCCTGAGTAGCCAGGACATCCTGGTGCCAGTCCCGGATGTGTTCAAAAGACTTCCTGTTTGTCACATCGAAGACCAGGAGGACACCCACCATGTTCCGGTAGAAGGACCTGGTGATGCACCTGCAGGGGCAGAGGGTTACGCCTTGAACCTTTGCAGAGGACAGCCCTTCCTGGGGTCCCTGGGATGTCTCCCGCCTCCTAAGCACATCCACACTGCCCTGCACTTGTGTCTCGGGGCGTTTGAATCCCTCTGCAGACATGGGTGTACCCTGGGTGGTCTGAACCCCAGATTCTCAGCCCACCTGGGGTCTCCAATCCTGGGGAGGCCCTGAGAGCCCGCACCCTACCTCTGTCTCTCTCCTCTCTGCCTGGAAAACTCCTACTTGTCCTTCAAGGCCAACACAGGCCACTCCTCCCACTCAGGCTTGCCAGCTGCTCAGCACCCAAGTCTTTGCCTGTTGCAGGGCAACCCGTGCCAGCTGGGCACAGCCTCCAGGGCTCTGGGGCTTGGCCCACTCCGCAGCAGGGTCACATTTGCAAAAAGATCTGTGATTGATTGGGGTTGGCATTCTGGTGTAATGGTTTAAGCAGCCACTTGCAGTGCCTGCATTCCACAGGGGCACTAATTCCAATCCTGGTAGCTCTGCTTCCCGTCCAGCTCCCTGCCTGTGGCCTGGGAAGGCAGTGGAGGATGGCCCAAAGCCTTGGGACCCAGCACCCGCATGGGAGACCCAGAGAAAGTTCCTGGCTCCTGGCTTCAAGCAGCTTAGCTCTGGTCATTGTGGCTGTGTAGGAGTGAACTAAAAGAAGAGTTATCTGTCTCCTTCTTTCTGTAAATCTGCCTTTCTAATAAAAAATAAAATTTTCTAGAACAGAAGCTAATTTTGGAGCAAAACCACTTGCAATGCGTGCATAGTTTTTTTTCATAATCCACACTTCCCATGAACTTTTTCAAAAAGATCCCTTGCATGGGAGGGCTCAGAATTTTTTGGTACCAAAATAAGCTTATCTTTCAGTCCCATTTTCATGATTCACTTAAAATACCTTCCTATTTGTAGAAAGAAGGATCCTCGTGGCCCAGGCCAGGGAACCCTGACCTCTGGGATCCCCGTGGCCAGCTAGAGGGGCTGTACCTACCGCCCGCGCTCCCCGCCCGCCTGCCCGCGCTCCCCGCGCTCCCCGCCCGCCTCCCCGCACCTGAAGCGCTCGTGGCCCGCAGTGTCCCAGAGCTGCAGCTTCACGCGCGGCCCGGCCCGCAGCTGCAGCGCGCGGCGGTAGAAGTCGACGCCCACCGTGGGCTCGGGCTCGGCCTCGGGCTCGGGGGCGCCTGGCGCGCCCGCCACGTAGCGCCGCAGAAGCGACGTCTTGCCCACCGTCGCGTCCCCCAGCAGTGCGATCCGAAACTGGTAACGGCAGTCCTCGGCCTCCATGGCCGCGCCCGTCCCGCCGCTGGCCGCTGTCTGCCCGCTGCCCGCCGGCGGCCACTTGCCCGGCTCCGCCCCTGGCCCCCAGCTGGCCGGCGCCGCCCCGCTCGCGCACCAAGCCAGCCGAGGGTCACCGACCGCCGGGGCGGTGTAGCGCTGGGTGGGGATGAGGGAAGATGACCCTGAGGGTATTGGGGGACCAACACGGTGGGGGTGGGGTCGGGGAGAGACCTAAGCAAGTTCCTGCCTCAGCTTTCTCCTCCGTGGATTGGGAATAACAATGAGCTTCCCTAGTAAGGAGTTGAAACCCAGAGGTATGAGGAGGAGCACTAAGCAAGGAGCACCGGCTTAAGCCACTGCTTTGGCTAGAGTGCTGCATTAATTCATGGGAGTGGATTTGGTCTCCAGGGGCCCCTGCTGGTGTCAGAGCATTGGTGGTGTCCTGCTCCCCCTCCCCATCCTGCCTGTGGCCTGGAACCCCTCTCCTGGGGCTCCCTGCAGCCCTTGCCTTGGGCCCCAGCTCAATGTCCAGGTTCACAGTGCACAGGTGCCCAGGAGCCTCCGGTCAGTCCCTGCTGGGGCCATGGCATGCAGCAGGGACTTTGCTCACAGCTTGACCCAGGAGGCAGCACAGAGAGCTGCCAATCTAGAAGAGGGACGGGACACTGAGACAGGACACTCACTTCCTTCGGTTTGTGGGCCTCACTTTGCCCATTTTAGAGCTGAGTAGACAAAGGCTCAGAGGAGTGTCTTGCCCGAAGTCCCCTTATATCTCTCCCTTGGTTCTATAAGAGGCCCCCCAGCAGGGCAGGTTTCCTGAGCACTGGGACACTAGGGCTGGGTTCTGCGGGGGTCAGAGGCTCAGGGGAGACAGGCCCACCTGCAGCCAAGACCCTCTGCGCCCTCTCTGAGCAGCCCTCTGGGAATGACCCTGCCTCAGGCTGTCCCCCAGCATGATCCCTCCCCCTGCCAGCAGGAGGCGATGGCTCCAGCATGGGTGCCTTGGGTCCCTGTCACCCATGAGAGAGCTGGATGGAGCTCCTGGCTCCAGGCTTGGTCCAGCTCTGGCTGCTGTGGCCTTAGGGGAATGGCCCAGTGCACGGAAACCTCAGCCCACTGATTCTGCCATCACGCTCCCTGCCTCGCTCTGGCCAACGCGAGAAATTCTTTTCCATTTGTGTCCCATGGATGTGCCTGGCTCCTTCTGTCACCTACCAGGGCAGGGCCAGCTAGGGTGAGACCTCTGCTGTGTGTACGGCCACTTGGATGGCAGCAGGCAGGTGCTGTCAGCCACCTGCCCGATGGAGCTGGGCTCAGGCGGCAAGTCAGGGAAGACCGCTTGGAGGAGGTGATCTAAGGGACAGTGGGAACTGGGGGTTTGGGGGAGTGTCAGAGAAAGGGCTGTGCAGGGAGGCCTGACGGCTGGAACTGCCCTAGAGGCCTCTGGTCAGCCCACGTGGGCGGTGCACTGTCAGCACTTCCTCCGTCTTCCTTCTCCCTGCTGAGGCCAGGGGTCATGCGTCTGGCCCCGCACCTGGCACGGCAGCCAGATGTCAGCTGACCTAGGCCTCAGGGTGACCTGAGGACAAGCTTTTTTTCTTTTCTCTTTTGCAAGCCAGGCTTCCTCTTGTGCTAAGGAGGGAAAGCAGGATATTTGGCCCCCACAATCACCATATGGTCACGGCAGATGCCCGAGCGGTGGCTGTTTAGATTCTGCACACTTGCGTCAGCTCTCGGCTACAGTTCCAAGTGCTGCCGACTGGCTGTGCGGATGTGGCCATGTGCTATTCACACACTGGCTTGGTAATCCCCGCCTGCCTGGATACACCAGGACTTACAGAGTGCTGCGGGGAAGGCACAATGCAGCTACATGCTAATGAGGAAGACTGACCCAACCCTAATAGCGCTAATGCCTGGAGCCTCATATGCCCACATGGGTGCCAGGGCCCAAGTAGTTGGACCATCTTCCACTGCTTTCCATTAGCAGGGAGCTGGATGGAAGTGAGGCACCTGGGTCTTGAACTGGTGCCCTTATAGGACGGCAGCCTTACAGACAGCAGCTTTACCTACCATGCCACAGTGCTGGCCCCTGGAGTACTTGGGTTTACTACTGGGGTCCAGCTCCTGGCTCCTGTGATTGTGCACCTGGAGGTAGCAGGTGATGGCTGAATACTTGGGTCCCTGCCCCTCATGTTCAAGACCCCGCCCACCTGTGGCTGAAGAGGCCCTTTGGGGAGTGAACCAGAGGGTGGAGGATCTCTTGAGGTCTCCTCTATAATTCTGCTTTTCAAATAAAAGTTAAAAAAATTTTTTTTTTCAAAAAAATTCCCTTAAAAATTAATATCTATAAAAAACAAAAAAAAACCCCAAAAATTAATACCCAGAAATAACCTATAAAACATTAAGAATTCCACTGGGTCTGGCACAGTAGCCTAGTGGCTAAAGAGCTCGCCCTATATGCTCTGGGATCCCATATGGGTGCCAGTTCTAATCTCGGCAGCCCATTTACCATCCAGCTCCCTGCTTGTGGCCTGGGAAAGCAGTGGAGGACGGGCCAAAGCCTTGGGACCCTGCACCCGCATGGGAGACCTGGAAGAAGCTCCTGTCTCCTGGCTTCGGATTGGTGCAGCACTGGCCGTTGTGGCCACTTAGGGAGAGAATCAACAGATAGACAGTTTTCCTCTCTGTCTCTCCTCCTCTCTGTATATCTGACTTTTTTTTTTAATAAAAATAAAATAAATCTTTAAAAAATAATAATTCCATGAGGCCTGGTGCAGTAGTCTAGTGGCTAAATCCTTGCATTGCATGTTCCGAGATCCCATGAGTGCCGGTTCTAATCCTGGCTGCTCCACTTCCCATCCAGTTCCCTGCCTGTGGCCTGGGAAAGCACCAAAGGATGGCTCAAAGCTTTGGGACATTACGCCCATGTGGAAACCTGAAAGAAGCCCTGGCTCCTGGCTTCGGATGGGTTCCACTCCAGTCACTGAGGCCAGTTGGGGAGTGAACCAGTGGATGGAAGGTCTCTGTCTCTCCATGCCTCTCTCTGTAACTCTGCCTTTCCAATAAAAAAAAAATTAAAAAGTCTCATCCATGGACCCATAACTTCATCGAGCGCCAGTAGGTGAGGCCACAGCTGCTTTATGTTAGCAGACTCCTGTCCAGGCGTGTCCCTTCACTCAGGAACGCTTGCTCTCAAGCTCCTGTTGCTCTTCCTGCCGCCGACAGCTGCGGGTGCTTCCCCAGGGCCAGGGCCAGCTCCCAGGTATGCTGGAAAAGGCAAGCTGGGCATTGCACGACCCTTCTCCCTGCCAGGGTAGGCCCAGGATCGAGACTCAGGCCAACAAGGAGGAGGAGGGCGATGGCCTCAACGCACACCAAGATGCACAGTCTCCCAAACCACCGCCTGGGCACTGCCCGCAGGCCCGAGGCCTTTCTCAGGGAAGCCCTCTGACACCCAGCCCTGCAGGCGGCTCCAAAGTATCCTGCCTGCTTGCAGAGACGGTTGGTAGTTTCTCCAGGCCCACTGTTTCGGAAGTCCCTGGGTACCTTCAGGCTCTGTCTCAACTTCTGAAAATCTGATCCAGCCTCAGGGTTGTGAGGTTTGTGCCTCAGCTGGGCCTGGCTGCTTCTGCTGGCCTGGTGTGTTCCTGGGCCCACTCCCGGCCCCCATGGATGCCCTTGGCAGTATTAGCTCTTTGTTTCTTTTTTCAGATTTATTATATTATTATTATTATTTTGTAAGATTTATTTATTCTATTGGAAAGTCAGATATACAGATAGGAAGATCTTCCATCCGATGAGTCACTCCCCAAGTGGCCACAATGGCCAGTGTTGCGCTGATCCGGAGCCAGGAGCCAGGAACTTCTTTCCTGGTCTCCCACGTGGGTGCAGGGTCCCAAGACTTTGGGCCATCCTCAACTGCTTTCCCAAGCCACAAGCAGGGAGCTAGATGGGAAGTGGAACTGCCGGGATATGAACCAGCGCCCATATGGTATCCTGGTGCGTTCAAGGTGAGGACCTTAACCATTATGCTATCGTGCCGGGACCTATTTTATTATTATTTTTTATTATATATTATAACAAATTTAAAAGCAATGAATTCACCCATTTTCCCCTAAACCTCGATCCTCCCCACTCAGATTAACCATGTAATCATTATGAAACAAAAACAAAAACAAAGATGTTTCTCAGGCTGAAGAGGGGAAGGTGTGGGGCCCAGCGACATAGCCTAGTAGCTAAAGTCCTTGCCTTGCAAGCCCGGGATCCTATATGGGTGCCGGTTCTAATCCTAGCTGTTCCACTTCCCATCCAGCTCCCTGCCTGAGGTCTGGGAAAGCAGCTGAGGATGGCCTAGGGCCTTGGGACCCTGCACCTGCGTGGGAGACTCGGAAGAAACTCATGGCTTCGGATTGGCTCAGCTCTAGCCGTTGTGACTGCTTTGGGAGTGAAATAGTGGATGGAAGATCTATCTCTCTGTATATCTGCCTATCCAATAAAAACAAATAAATCTTATTAAAAAAAAAAGTGGGAGGGCACCTGGCACAATGGCTAAATCCTCACCTTGCAAGTGCCAGGATTTCATGAGCCAGGAACTTTTTCCAGGTCTTCCATGCAGGTGCAGGGTCCCAAGGCTTTGGCCCGTTTTTAACTGTTCTCCCAGGCCACAGCAGGGAGCTGGGTGGGAAGCAGGAGTGCCGGGATTATGGCGCCCATAAGGGTTCCTGGGACATTGAAGGCGAGGACTTTATTTGCTAGGCTACCGTGCTGGGTCCTCAAATAAATAAATCTTTAAAAAAAAGTGTGTGTGTGTGTGTCACGGCAGTGGTTTAAGTTGCCAGCAACACGCTCAAGAGTCCATTTGAGGGCCCGGTGGCGTGGCCTAGCGGCTAAAGTCCTCGCCTTGAACGTGCCAGGATCCCATATGGGCGCCGGTTCTAATCCCTGCAGCTCTACTTCTCATCCAGCTCCCTGCTTGTGGCCTGGGAAAGCAGTCGAGGATGGCCCAA